CGTTTAAGAACTGAGACATTATATTTTACCAAGTTACAGATATTTTTGGTGTAGTTCATACAATGCAGCTACCAAATGTTTTTTTGTGTTATCAATCTTGTAACTGACATGACTGATCGGCTTTATCGAATGCTTCTTTGGGATGAAAAGGCGGAGATTCAAGAGCGAGCATTCAAGCACGCTTTGTCGCGAAGAAACAGAAAACGAATTGCTATCCAAACCTGACGCGTCTTCTTTACCGAGGTAATACCTCGTCCAAACGTTGCCCCGGCAGGACGAATGCTGACCTCGGTTTTACCTAGGTAAAGACGAGGTCGAGTGCGGGAATACCGCGTCAATGATGCGTGGAGGCCCCGCGGCAAGAACGCGGGAAAGGGGGTTAATATTTTCAGGTGGTACTGTAAGTCTATGTAAATATCACAACTTCTGAATTCTAATCCAGACTGTGCTTAAGTAACACTCCACAGACAACGAGTCAGGTTTGTCACAAAGTTTTGAAATACAGCTATTATGGCTTTACTGTTAGAATACGTCACTCAGATGAATAGCCAGGCAAGTAGCTGTCCATAATCATGAAAATAATAGATGAGGTGTTAGAGTTTTTTTTGTCAGTAGTGGACTACTTTTGGCAACTATAAAAACTTATATAGACACAGGTCTGTACAATGTACATGAACACAAGCACAACTGTACATTTTTTGTTTTCATACATACACTGTACTTTGTCAAAGTATGGTTTAAGAAGACCTTGGCAGTGATACATGTACATCAAAGATTTGTTTTTTTAAAGTAAAACTAGGAAATTTAACTTGTTATGTTGTGTAAGAACCTTACCAACAACTGAGGGTCATTTTCATCAAAGTCGTTGTCGTCATCATCATCATCATCCATATCTACATCATCCATCAGATTAGCAGATCGTCCTCCTGGCTCTAAACAATATAAAGGTTTTTTAGACTGAGAAAGACTTCATTCGACCAGTGTTTTTATAACATGTTTGGCTATCCACCTACATGCAAACAATCAAAAGGAATTGAATTCCTACATGTGGAAGATGTATTTCAAGTTTTGAATGATGTGAAAGTACAAATGTTTCAACAAAATAAGATTGTTGTCAGTATTTTGAATATTATAACAGCAGCACACCCCAATAACAGCTATGAATTTAGACTATAGAAAAGTTATGCCACAAAAAACTGTCATAAAGTAACATTGTTTCCTTAGAAATATGTCTCATTAAAAATCCCAGGTTGAATCATAAGAACACTTACTTTTTTTCTTTACTTTAGACCGTGATTCCCCCTGTAGTGCAGCCAACTCTGCCTCAAGACTTTCATCATCATCATCGTCATCGTCATCATCAGCACCTCCTATGCCTCCAATCCCTAAGTCAGCCATTTCTTCTGGACTGATATCAAGACCAAGCTGTAGAAACCAAAAAACATAATAACATCTAAAAATTCAAGCAAGATCAGTGCAAGGAGCTGTCAGAAATGGCACATCTTTAGAAATTTACCCTGAATTTTTTCAGGTTGGTTAACTACAATCCATGTCTTGAAACATTTCTCACTTGCCTCCATCCCTGGTTTTGTCAGTTACCCATTATTTCTTCGCTGTTTTTATTTGAAAAGCTATTATTTTATTTGCAGGTAATTTAAACATTGGGATGGTGACATAACCCTGTTAGACAGATGATTTTTGGTAGAGGTACTCAAATTTCTCAGGGCCATGTGCATATTTTCTCCTTCTTTAAAAATATGTGCACAGTCGAGTAGAATCGAGAACGATAGTGGCAGGGTACTCTGCTGTTGCTCCTTTCCCAGCATAGCTAACACAGATAGGCCCAGATAATGAGAACATTTGGGACCAGAAACAATAGCCCCCTCCTTCCCCTTTCATCCAATCACCTGCAATATAGCTGACATAAGACTTTCAATTAATACTGGTAACAATTTAAGACCACTTATATGTTTCCTCTTTTGAAACAACAGAAATAGGGAAATTTTGAGTTAGTGTTTCTACAAGTAGCTTAAATAAATGCGAAACACTGTTAAAGCAATGAAGGGTGTTATTTTACAACGTCATATTATAAACTTAAGAAGTTTACGATCTGAGTCATGTCAAAGTTCATCTCCACACCAGCCCTTCGACTACACTATTGACCGTGAAGACAATCTAGTGAAACGAGCAATGCAATATACAATACCAGATTGGAAAGGTCGTTCTTCTTTTTCCCTTCTTGAGGGTGAGGAGGTTTCTTTTTCCTGCTAAACATTCTGTTAAATGTACTAAAATTTTGCAAGTCAGGAGGAGCTCTTCGTTTTTCCGTTCTAGTATTGTCCAGCGGAGTTGATTTTAGAGTAGAGTCCCAAAATGCATTGCGGTGGTGGTGAAAAATGGCGATTTTGCTTCGACAAACTGTTAGTACTATAATTGTCAGAAACTTGTTTGTCTATATATTGTCATCGCGTGGAAGTCGGCTCTCTCTTTAACAGGAAACGAAAATGCCTGTTCTGCTTGAAAGAAGTCGCCCGACCAAAGACCAGCAGAGAGCCGTGCACGCGTACATTCGGCGACAAAGAGAGAAGGGCAAACAGGCTCTTGCCGAAAGCAAAGCGAAGGAGGAGGAAGAAAAACAGCGAAAGAAAGAAGAAGAGAAAAAGAAAGAAACAGTGGAAGATGTAAAAAAGGAAATTGCTGAATTAGAGTCGAAGTTGGAACAACTGAAGGAGAAGAAACACGAGCTTTTTTCGCAATTCAAGCGAGCTTTAAATTATGAAAATGAAATGAAGAAACAGCAAGAAAATCAAGCTTCATTGAAGGCATCTACTTGTATAACTTTAGCAGGCAGTTCTAGAGGCGTTCAGGGTTTGGCTACAGGGCAGGCTGCGTTGACACCCACAGCACACCCACAATCTTCCCTTGGGGATGCTGCTCCAAGTTCAGGTGTGATAACATGCACTAGCAATGTTTTAAATTACGGTAAATTATCAAAACCGTCAATGCCTTCTGCGCGCAACCTATCTGACATGGATGTTTGGTAATTGAATCCAATCTAACTCAGTCTACTGATTGAATATGATTGCATTCGATTGCAGCAACTTTTGGCCACCTACATGTAGTCAATACTTTTTGAAGAGTGTCTTTTGGAATGAATAATAATTATCTACCCTCACCCATGCAGTGCTCAAATTTTCATGGACCTAAAACAGCTATGAATGTCATATTCATTCCTCTGTTGGCAGAAGAAAAATGGTGACTGGTACATCTACCCATAATTCTTAGGACACAAAAACTTTAACAGTGCTCATAAAAATGTGCAGAAAAGTTCTCAAACCTTCAAACCTAACATACACAATTTTGTTAGTGCAGGGACAAATACTGCAAGAATGTGGCTCTCCTTGTACTCTGTGGGCTGTGTAAGGTTTGCACGGTATAATTTGCAGTAAAATGTACAGCCACCATCTTTTTTCCCATGGATAATTTCCTGCGTGTAATACTCTCTATGTTGCTCAAAGAGACTATATCAGGGGAGATTCAGAGAGTGGTGTTGATGTGATGAGTTAATTCATACAGTAGATAACTTGTACATACATGTAACATGATCACACAATATGCCTTGAATTCAGGTGTGATCAGAAGACAAGGAAGTCCTCCACATCCTCTCTCAGGTTTTATTCAGGCACAAATCCATTCTCAACAAATGCAGAGTCTTCAAGTTGCACATGCTCCTTACCCACCACAGACAACTCAGATGCCAGTCCAAGCTGCAGTCCAAGAGAGATTTCCTGTATTTCAACATGGCCAAGTGCAGGCACCCGTTATTGCAGGCAATCAGGTACATCTCAAAATATAACAACTACAAGCGGACCTTCCTCTGCAGACACCCACGTAATAAGGACACCCACTTGTAACAGACAGTTTTCTTTGTCTCTTAAATTAGCCTGCTTTATGCAGACACCCAGATAATGCAGACACTTCTGCATGTCCCTTTGATGTCCATATTAACATGACAGGCAAGTTCACTTAATGTTTATAAAACATAGTAGATTTTGGTTGTTTCAAATAATTGGACATTGCATTTAGAACACCTCTTTTTCCTGGAGTTGAACTTAATGCCTAGGGAAGAGCAGTAATCCACCCAAAATGTCACCAAACAATTGAATTTATGTAATGTTAAAGATACACTGAATATTCATTGCAAAAGTAGACGGAAGCCAAGGAGTGAGTGACAACTGGCAACAAATTGAATGTAATATCTAGAACACTTATACATGTAACTTTGTCACAGCCTGAAAGTCATTTTCAAGAAAAGCATCATGCCCCTCGTCAACTCACCCCTACTGGTACAGGTTCAGAATCACAGCCTCAGTTTAACAGACAACTGCTTCAGCAAGGTGGACCGTCCCAGCAGGTAAATACATCCTATTATCAGCATAATGAAACACATTATCTGGCTACATTTCAACTACATTACACAGTTGTATAAAACAGGCACCTGAAATGGAAGGAGCTGATGAGCAAAGCAAAATCACAGGTTTCCCAAGCTCCTTGGGTAGTTGGGAGCCGTGAACATTATTTTATGACATTGCATAACAGTGTAAGAGGAAATATACCTTCATCCACCCTGAGCGTGAGAAGTTTGAACCTTAGGCCAGGTCGCTAAGTTTTTTAATAACACCTCATTTGACTGCATGCAGCGAGAGCTTTTCCAGGAATTGGCACCCTTTTATTCCATATCAGTGTTGGTGAACCTCGGATACAAAACAGGAATGTGAAGGAAAACTATCGTACGTGATGTATGTGGAACTTTGAGGCAATCGGGGCATATAGAGAGGAAACCATTGAAACTGAAACTCGCTGAAATCGCATTGAAATGGTCTCATAACGGCATGGAGACAAAAGTAACACACAGAAGAGTCAAAGTAAGTCGTTTATATTCAATTTCTTTTCCATATTTTGAACTGTCACATACGATCGTTACATTCCCATACAAACCCTTATATTTATGCTGTTACATAATGCCATATAATAATGTTGATGGCTCCCAACTACCCAAGGAGCTTGGGATACCTGTGGTGAAATTAGAAACCATAAACAATACACTGATGACTACCTAGCAGTTGCCTTGTATTAACAAAGTTTTTGATGGGTTTGAGTCATATTTTTTCTCTTCAACAGCTTTCATTTGACCAATTTAAATCCAAGAATTATCAAGCTATAAATTTAAAGAGGTTAAAATTGTTTCTATCCAATGTTTCACTGACTTGCCATGAGATGGAGGTTTGCAAATTTTCTCATTACTGCAAACTGGCAACCATTCTGATCGTTTGCATTGTCTGCTAAGGTGTGTTTGGGACTTGTTCTTTTTTCACGCAAGCAAATTGTTGATTGCCCGCAAGCTCTACAGTTACAGTATAAAAATCATGATTAATTTTTTTTAGGAAAATCAGCAGGCTCTAGGTCACCAGTTACAGCAACCACAGCAGCACCAGCAGCAGCAGCAGTTTCCTTACCATGTACAGCCACAACTACAGCAGCAACAGCCAGGTTATCAACAGTATGCACAACAAAGTAATCAGAAGCAAGCTTTTCAGCCTCCCCCACGCCCACAAACACAGCAGCAACCAAGCTCAGCACAGCACAACCAAGGACCCCAGCATGGATACCCAGCACAACATGTCCAGGACCAACCACACCTCCAGCCTTATCCAGTTCACGCCTCTAGTATGCATCAGATGCAGTCTCAGCAGTCCTATCAGGTGCATTCTCAGCAACAGGGATACCAAGCAAAGCAGCAGCCTGTAGCTTACCAAGCTCAGCAAGCACCACCAAGTGGCCAGCATGGATACCATCCACAGCAACAACAACAGCAGCAGCAGCAGCAGGCAGGGCAGTACCCTTCAGCACATGGACACCAAGGACAGCAGCCTGACCAAATTCCACACAGGCAGCAAACAATGACAACACAGCAGTTTCACCAGCAGCAGGGAAACCAGAGCCAAAGCCGGCAAGTGCCATATGATGCAGGACATCAGTCCCAGCAGATGCTGCCACCACCACAACAGCAGCAGCAGCAACAGCAACAGCACCAGAAGCCTGAACAGAGGCAAAGTGCTGGACTTGGATATTCTCAACACTACACGGTAATTACTTTTCTCAAGCTGTGCATAATTTACTAGTGGGATGAGGTCAAGAATAAAGCAAGCTGCAAAACTCAACAAAAATACATGTTTTTGTATGAGCAGGAAAGGAAAACTGTCTTTGGAAAGATGTTCCCTTGACTCTGAAGATGACTTATGCTGAGGTTGTCAAAGCAGGAGTCACCAACAACTGTTCTTTTCAGAACTACATCGTACCCTCACCTGGACGATCCAACTATGTGAAAAATTGTATTTGCACAAAATTGAGGTTACGGTTTATAATTCCCTCAATACATTATTTTTTTTATAATTTCCTGCCAGACAAACTCATAATGTGTGTCAAAATAATGTGAGGAATCCACATGTACATGGATATGAGCTAGAAATCAAGCACACACTTTGTGTCTTAGTGGTGAAAATTTGTAAACGAGTCAATGTGTTATTTTGACCTGCTTTGACACCTGGCACTTGACGGACTATTCAAAATGTTCTCCATTCATCATTTGTTGCTGCCAACTGTTTGCTTGGAAGTAAGTTTGTATTATTACATGTACATGTACATGTACGTTGAGCGTTAATGTGGAAAGAACACAATTAACACTTTTCATCATCTCTTGTTTTACAACACAGTCTGTTAATTCCACAGCATGACTATCAACAACACCATGCCCAGGGACCCCAGTCAGTAAAGAGAGCCAGCCACAAGTTTAGTCCTTATCCTCCTTACTCTGGGTCAAAGAGTCACCATCAGGGAAGTGCTGGGAAGAAATATGCTGGAAAGTACCCAAGCTCCCTGGAAGGATCCTCATCGTCAGGCTCATACACAGGCATGTTCAAATCTAGTAAACATTGCAAATAGGACTGTTTAATCTAGGTGCAATTGTTTTTTTGTGTTTTTTTTTTTTTCAAGAATTTGTTGCGGTTCTTTAAACTTGCAGCAGATTGGTTAGCTGAGTTTAGTTATCCAACACAATGGCCTTGACTCTTCACTATCACCTGCCACTTTACTGCAAATTCAGACAAGTTTATGAAACAAGTGGAGGTTTTAGGTCAGTAATAGTGATCACAGATGTGGTATTGTTGTCAGCTGGTGAAAAATGAAATGAAACTGACAATGGTGAGGGTACACGAACAATGAGATCACTAGAGACATGATTATAGTTACATTCAGAAAGAATCCTCTGACACATGCTGACCCAAATTATGGCTGAATCCTGAACGTGATACTACACTGTATGTTGTAGATCAAGGTATGCTGTTGTTCTGTACTTGCACTTGCTATGACCAAACATCTGCTCATGTTCTGGAATCTATTGGATCTATCTGGAGTCCACAAATAAAATATCCAATAGTTGAATAACAAGCAGTTTAATGGCAGTCAGTTTATTCCTTATGATATTTACTGGGTATGTATGTTTCTACATGTACACTGTATGTTGACAGGGCCATCAGGTGGTTCCTCACACTCAAGGCACCATCAACATCAAGGACGTAGTCACAAGGCTGGAACAGGGCACAGCTCATCCAACCAACAGAAGACTTCTAGGTACTACCCGTGAAAACACACACACTGCCTGCAGCAGAATTCAAGCTGTCTTGGTACTAGTGAGGATCCAAAGATACCATCCAGTTCTTCCAGTGAGGGTTCAACAAACACCATCCAGGTATTGCCAAAGGGAGTTCAACGAACACCATCCAAGAATAACTGTTGAGGATTCCACAAAAGCTGTCCAGGTATTGCCAGTGAAGGTTCCTCGAAAGCCGTCCAAGTATCGCCAGTGAATGTTCAGCAAAAACTGTCCAGGTATCACCAGTGAAGGCTCAACGAAAGCTGTCCAGGTATTACCAATGCGGATTCAACAAAAGCTCTCCGGGTATAATCAGCGAATACTCCACGAAAGGACGGGAGGGGTCAGTGTAGAGAGGGAATTTGCCCTATGCTTGGAGGAAAATGAAATGAAATTTGCTGGATTTTGAAAAATACTCTATGTAAAAACATTGGGAAGAGGAATTAATGAGTGAGACAACGACTTTGGTATGATGAAAAAATAGTTCAACAAGTAGTAATATTATGCTCAAGAAATAGAACGTAAATTTTGTCCGGGAATCTTAATATAAAAACGTAAAAGTCACTTTACTAGAGATGACCGTAATGTGACTTTAACTGAATTTTTATAACGTTGCCAGTGTAGGCTAGTCATCATTAGCTTACATTATTGATAGAGAACGGTGGACAATTAGGCAAGTGATGTTTGCCTCCCTAGAAATAGAGCTCTGATAAGTGAAAATACATGTATGTGAAGTTAAGAGATAATGATGGAGCAATATTGTTTTTCCTGATGTGCGCAGTCTTGAATTTTTATCCATTCTTTTTAGGTATATTTTAATTATTCTTATCTCATGACAAGCTCTCGATTAGCTTTTCTCTGTAGCCCTATTGATTGTTCCTCTTTATTGCAAAACATCCTGTCAATAAAAACCTTGGAACTATTAAGGATGTTTGCTCCTTTACTGTGGCCACTAACTTCGTTCGTCGAACACTGCAGTTTGCCTGTCGTCATGAAATACTTCAGAACAACTGGAGTTATTTTGTATCTTGTGGTATTTTTCTCTTGTCGTCTGCCATTTTGTTTGCCTTACTTTAAACACTTAGCGGTCTACCGTACCCAAGATTTCTATTAACCAATCAGAAGCCGTGTCTACTGTCCTGATATCCTGCGATATCACCTCCCTGACCTGATTTTGGCCACGATGGCCGGATCGTACCTTTTTTGCACTCTTCGACGGTTCGTTTGATCTCGCCATGGGTAGTTGGGCTTCACTTCTAAAATATGAACCATGGCTAAACAGACTCCCCTGATATGCCGCCGAAGCGTACCAAAGAAAAAAAAATGCGATTGGGTTTAAGCAGCATTCCAGCAACAAAATCTGAGTTTTCTTTTGGGTCCGAATTTCGAGAAATGCAGGACTTTGAGGGGTTTATTCAGGTCTGAAGCCCGGGAGGGGAACTCGCACATAAAAAGGACGGGCCGGGTGCGCGTTGGAAATTTTGAAAAGAACCCCTAAGAGATACCAGTTCTAAGACAATACATTACCTCCTGCGATATATTTTTTTTTTGGACCTTTAAGGTACCACTAAAGTTCCCGCTGAGGACCTTTTGAGGCTTAACATCCTAAGAAGTACCAAAAGCGCATTTTTAATCCCTAAAAGGTACGACGAGTACCCCCGTCCTTTTTATATGGGAGTCCCCCCCC